AATTTTTGCAGCACGTTGCCTCGAATGTCCGAATATAGTGAGCAAATAATTACATACATCGCCGGATATGTAGCACGAGTAATAAAAAAATATATATAATGCAAATAATTAACAGTGCGCTGTCTTTATAAAAACCTGGAGTTGGTTATACGTATGAGTTCGTTACTTTCGAGGACGAAGGTGGTCTAGTTTATCCCACCTAAGATGCTATCCAAGTATGCAGAGTAGCAGAGTTAGAAATCCGAGAAATAATAAACAAATCACAAAAATTTCACACGAGGCCTTCTACTATTCATCAATTTGATCAATTGCCAACAGAAAACCATCTAGTAAAATTAATTAAGGCAGTCGCAAGTTCATATATTGACGTGCGATTTCATTATTTAAGTTAATCGATAAGATCTATTACAAAATGATGATATATAATAAGCTCATTTTATTGGAAGGACAATAATTTTAATATTTGAATTCGATTAAAAATTAAAGTCTTAATTTTTTTTAAGTAATCAACATTTTTTTAAAACAAGTAAAATAAAGAACTTAACTATCTTATTCTACTATATTAACATTACGACTACTTGTAATCAACAAATACTTGAACAAAAATTATTCTATTTAGTGTTTACGCGTGTTCCGTTTAATCAATCGAGGTAGAGCGAGCAGCGGGAGGTTTTCATCACTAAATAGTTCTTGTGACGTCATAGTGGGTACAAAAAATGTGTCACGCTTGGTTTTCATACAAATTGCTGTACTTGCGGCGTCTATCTAGATATATGTCTGTGGCCCTAACCGTACGTTTCTGCAGGCAAAAAATTCGATTAACGTCGGCGGCACTACCCCATAGCAAAATGCAGTAGGCCATCAAATATAGCATTATTTAAAATATTGTTTGTGCGAACTTGCTATTCGTAACTTCGATTAATTGTATGCTTAGCTGCAGTAAATAAACTTTGACAGAAAACCTTCCTTACTTATAGGTAAGGGTAAAGAACGACAAAGGAAAATTTACACGTTGTTATTTATCTGCCTATATTAGTACCTAGTTAAGGCACACGCGGCAAAACTGACGTGAACAACACACCGCTGTATGTTTTGTATAGCCCCCTGGTACAAGTTAAGGATCAGCACGAAACAACAATGGAATATCCCTAAAATATTTTGTAAATGTACGTAAATATGAATAAACCAAGCTGTCATCTTCGGGGTTAAGCTAGATAAATGTACGATCCCCAGCGTTACGCTCGTATCACATAAGCAAAAATTGTAAGTACATTTTATTTGTCATTTTTATCTCGCGCCGACGAGCCGTGTTACGTTTGATCCCGGGTTTTGCCAAAGGTAAAGAAAGCTCCGCTGTGGTAGTGTAAAAACTAGCAGTAGAACAATTTCAGATTTATAAAATAGCACTTTCCATTGTCTTGCTGCAGGTGCATTTGAACTGACAGTACAACAACTTCTCCATATTGACTTGTGTTACTTCGCCATAATAGATGATAAAAAAAAATTGCCAGTGTGTGAGTTCTTAGTTTAATTTGTTTGTTTACTTATTAGGGCGCGTTCAAATTAGCCACCGTTAGACGTGCTGTTGCCGTGAAAAGTGACAGTCGCCTCTTTTCATACATTTCTAGAAACAAAACGTAACGAACAAAAAGTAACCTTATTTCTTTGAGGCTAATTGTAATTTTGTTTCTGTTTGCGAAGCCTGGCCTTTTTGTAATTTTGTACTGTAATTTTTTTTCTTTCATTTATTTATAGGGCATAAATAACGTACATTACAGTTCTAGCCAAACAAAATACTAAGGGCGCGTTCAAATTAGCCGCTGCTAGGCGCGCTGCACCAGCGCGACTGTCGCGCGTCTAGAACTTGTATAAAAAGTTAAGTTGTACGGTGCCCTATAAATAAATGAAAAAAATCACATGTACAAAATTACAAAAAGGCCAGGCTTCGCAAACACAAACAAAATTACAATTAGTCTCAAATTGGGTTATTTTTTGTATACTTTAAGGCCTTTAGGCTTTATAATACGTGAGGTACCTATTCCAATCGATATTTAAAATGACAAAATTGTATGTATAGCAATTTGCGAATAAAAGTTTTATTTTTGTCTTTGCTTTTCACGTAATAGCGTGGATAGGAAGGAGTATTGGTATCCAGTTTCATTATTTAAGGTTCACGTTCAACACAAACCCCATGCTAGTCTTGTAAACATGCTAACAGATGTTCACAGAGTTTGAAAGAATCGTGCAAATAAACCTATACGGGCCGTTACAACTTAAAGAAGTTAGTTTTTTTTGTTTGTTGTACCCACATATATTATTGCCTAAACTTTAAGCCTGAAAGTAGATATATACAAAAAGTAAATTTATCTGTATGAGACTTAAGTTGTAATTTTACATTTGATTTTGTTTCAGTTTGCCAAATAAACAAAATTTTATTACCGAACGAGGGTAATTTCCGGAATTGGAACGCCTATTTTTATTTGTAAGCAAATGTACAACATAAAAAAATTGCTAATATAGTTATTTCAGGCGTTTATGTCCATATCCTAAGGTAATAAGATATTAGTGATATTACATTTCAAAACATCAAGTAAATTGATCATAAACATCATAGTTTCTACTTGGAAAACTTAGAAAGACTGTTCAAAAATGAGATCCGTCCATTATGTATTGTGTATGAGAATCCAACCGAAATGTGCGTACATGCGTACAGTAATACGGGTCGATGTTTGTCCAAGTAAATTGTACATAAAAAGGACAGTTTGACACGGTTTAAATTTCGCTTGTACATAGTCAGGTGGACATTGACTTCTTTCTTTATTCTAGCACAATTACACTTTTAAAATAAAAATGGAAGTAAAGTAATTTGCTACTCCGAAATGAACCCGATTCTCCGGCCGAACGTTGAATAATAATCGATAACGCCTGAGGATATCTCATAGAGAGACAAAACACGTCTCGGGTACATTTTTGTTGATGGTGTTTGTGAGTCCAGTGGCGCTTGTGTTATTTATATTATAGTTTATTTTCCGGAAACAAGCTGGGAACATTAACTACTGTAACAAACCTATTGTATATCACAGACTTTAAGCAACTATATTCGTGATATAGTTTCCTAAAATCCGCTAGATAACATTGACCCTTTTTACTTAACTTCTCCCTCGAATGGTGACTACCTTAACGGAATTTAGTGTAGTGTTAGGTTTCTCTCCTTTAGAACTTCTTTCTGGCGGAAGTCTTCAGTAGCGCCCTGAGACGAGGTCCGTGCCCACTTGGTTTAGTTTAACTTAAGTTTACACATAGCAGTTAACACTTAGTTTTAGTTTATTTTAGGGTTTATGAGCCTTCAGCTCGCCCTTTCTTCCGGTGGCGCAGTCAAGGCCATCAGCGGCTAGCTGCAAAATATCCTTCAAAAAAGTGTATTGTTGGGTAGGACTTGAAATTAAAATGAGTCTGAGGGAGCAACTACCTACCTCATTTGAAAAAATGAGGCGATACAATGTCCTACCTCAAATGAGGTGAGATAGCGCTAAGAATGTTTGCAGCTACGGCAATGACTCAACAGACAGGGAATATTAAGCACACTTTCATAACCTGATAGTGTCAATCAATTGGATAACTTAAGTGTTAATTAATATAGTTTTTAAATAAATGCTATTTTTATTTAGTACTATGGTAGTATGATCATATGATGTAAAAATCAAATAAAAATCAGACAGTGCAGGACCATTGTTGCATTTGTTGAATTCGAAACAGTAAGTGAGGCTGTGACATGAGGTCAGGTATGAGGTGAAACATTTTTATGATATGAGGTGTTGTGATAAACTAACCAAGCGAGTGGTAAACTCACTCAGCACTAATTTTGTGTATGGGTGAAAATCGTCAATACTATCGATACGTATTTATAGTCTTTCTTTTTTGAAGATGGAGTAACATGACAATTCATTGCACAAAAGTGTTGCCCACTTTTAAGCAACTAGTGATTGCAGTCGATAATTCTATCGAATGTTGGTCACGCTTATGTAATAAGTTTGTATCGAATCATAAGAACTATGAGTAGCACTCCGGTACTTCCACTTGTTAGGATACTTGGATGAAAGCTCATAGAATCGTTTCTTACAATGGATCGCCGGCTGCCGCTGCCATCTCGTCGGACAGTGAGTTGATCGAAAATAAGCGCGATTACGTCTTTTATATCGATCATACAACTACGTGAGTAAACGTCGAAATTGCATTTAGAAATCCAAGCGTCTCTCTTCACCCTCTCTCGCTTCGTAAACACCATTACAACTCTGTTTTAATATGGATATTAAAATTTGTCAATGTGAATATTATATAGTTACATGGTTATACTAGTAATTTCATAGGTCATAAATTTTAAAAGTGCAAAAATGTATTACAATATCAAAGATTTTTAAAGTTTACCACGAATAATATTACAAAGTTAGTTTGTTAAAAACATGCAAGAGTAGATAGTGTGCAAAATACATACTTGCAATATGCATGCGATATTGCTAATTTTATTTACCATAGAATAAACATTGGAGTACCGAATAATTATGAATAATTAATTGGAAAATAAATTTAATAAAATTATGAAGTATATTTTAAGCGGGAAAAAAATTAAAATTACGTTAAAAGCTTTTACACGTTGATTCGGTGGGGCTATTATCTGTTCATTGATAGCTTCTCCATTTTCTTCGACCACGGCTTTTTTCCTTCCAAGTTTTCGTATTCTTATGGTATAAATAAATTCCTTTTCTTGTACTAAATTTGCAGTCAATGGGTGTTAATTGTTATTATAATTCGATTAATTAATTCTTCGCCTTCCCTATGTTCATAGTCTTAAGTTCCATATCGGCATGTCCGCTGAAAATGAGGTCTCTGGCAGGTGCGTATGAGACATTGCATTCGATTCGGCCTTTGATAAAGGGAAACGCACGCGGTATCGCCGTTGTTGGTACTGTCATGTTTTTAAAGTTATATGTTCCCTGTAAATAAACGTGAATTACTGGAAAAGATACCCAATGGTGCGTAATTACCTGAAATCAGAATTGTCTCTGTAACAAATAAATAAGTAATAAATAACAATAATAACGAACACACTCAACATAGCCCCGCACTAGGGAAACCCTGTGTCGCGGATGCCATGGACACACACATAGACGACCACAAATTACACCCAATGTCACGCGAGAAATAAAGACCCGGAAATCGAACCTGGGACTTCTGCCTACCAGTCGGCATGGTAACCGTTTGGCCACCGAGGCAGTTAAATATTAAAGTCCGTTCCAATCCATTTTGAACAAAAGGTAAACAAACCTGTTTGGTTAAAATTCTATCAATTCAATCACTCAATATATCGAATAAGTAACACTTTCATATATATTTCCAAGATTTCGACTTGCTATCTCAACACTTTTTCCAACAATATTCATTTGAATAGCATCGTAAAATAGTATTTGAAAAATGGTTGTCTAAAAGTGAGGTTATTTTTTATCTATACAACTATGACGTGTCTATGGTTGCATAGTGTTACGAAAAATAACGTTCGGTTCTTTCAATTAAAGTTTTTGTAATCGATTATTTCAATCGCAATCCAACGAGGATCTAAGTGTAAGGATTTGAAAGACAATTTAAAATTAAGATTTGAGAAATTTTAAACATGCTTATATATAGGTTATCTAAGGAAAACCGCGAGAATGACTCAATTCGACAACAAATCGATTTATTCAATAAATTAATCGTATTGTAGTTGGCAGTACAATTGGCCACCACTAAGCCGTCTATGGTCGGGTCTGTGACTTGTTTTTTTTTGTTCAAAATGGATTAAAACGAAGTATAGACAATATCACGTCATCAAAAGAAGTGCTTAGTGCGCGTGTCATACATGCCAACTTTGTACAAAAAATATATGGTCAACAATCTCGAAAACTTCGAAATCGTAGAAAAATGTCGTATTCTAGCGAATACGACATTTTTCTACATTTTTCTAATGTAGCCATTGGAGTGCAAAAATCAAAGTTTTCCTTTCAAATCAAAGAGCTCCTTTATGAAAGAGCACGTCCAGGGCAGTACTGCCGCCTTACCTATTTCTGCCGCCAAGCAGTAATGCCAGCATTATTTCGTTCCGGTTTTGAAGGGTAAGGCTGCTGGTGAAATTACAGGCATACGAGTCTTGTCAACTTACGTCTCAAGGTGTCGGGCGCAGTAGCAATGTCCCTCGGATCCTTGCGATTTAAAGCTCTGAGTGGCACTGCAACTATTTTGGACAGGCGTGTAGCTTACCATAGGGCCCACGACTTGTCGCCCTGTCACTTTATATTATACAAAAAATGAGATGAGATGATTGCTATATGTTGATAATAAGATGGGTCGGCATGACTATCTTTCTTATGCACAGGCTCTACATTTGCAAGCTTCCAGGTTTTCGAAACTCGTCCAGAACTCACAGAGAGGCGATACAGGCGAGTCAACACTGGAGACAACTTGGGTGCACAGTTCCACGGGACAATCGCTGGGATTCCGTTAGGGCCACTGGCTTTGTTGACGTCTAATTTGTGTAAAGTTTTCAACACCTCTTTTTGATGGATAGTGATCTCGGACATTTTCGAGTCACAGCGGCGTGAGCCAGCGATCCGCCAGCTCTCATTAAAGGCGGAAGGGACGAACTGCAGAAATTCGCTTCGACCAATTTAGCGAGCGACCAGAATGCTTTGCTCCTTGATGGGTATGAAGCTAACCTAGCCCCAATATGACTAATAGCTGCCGAAGCGACCTTTCCGTATCGCTTTTTTGCAGGATCTAGCGGCTTTATTATAGGCTTTCTTCAGACGCAGGGTTTCCGGTGCTCTGCAATCTCGAGCAACTGCTCGCCCAGTATGTGTGAGTTTTGGCGACGGCTGTTCTGATAGTAATCGAGATTTAAGACACTTCCATAGTTTTTTTCTTCCTTGGGGATAGCATACAACCTGGTAAAGGTCACTCTACTGAACGAGAGCTCTCACGTCTACCAAGAAGTGTGGCTTTAGAGCAAGGGTCTTAAAAAAAAAGCATTAAAAAGCCCTGTGAGCTGCCGACAGCCAAACATTGTAGAGAAGCTCTATCACTGGATAGGAGACAATGCCCTAAGGCTCTAGCCTTAACAAGCCTGAACAAGCTTGTCAAGAAGTCTCAGAGAATTACAGGTCTATAGCTCTTCTTCCGAATTTCTCTAAAATATTCGAGAAGGTTATCTACAAAAGAATAACAAACTTTTTAGATAAACGTATTTAGTCAGTTTCAATTTGGATTTCGTAAAATGAAATCAACATCTCTATCCATTTTTACATTTCTACATAGCTTGTGGGAAGCTATAAATCTTAAAAAACACCAGTGTTCCTAGATAGGTAATTTTCGTAGATAATAGACCGCGGGCAATCATATTGTAACAAGTTTTTGTTAAATAACCCGATTTGTGCATTCCTGTATCAATCAGTTGGTTCATAGAATACTTGTTCTTACTTGTTCGATTTGTTAAAGTCAAAGATTATTTATTCCATAGGTAAAATAAATTTACACTTGAAAACGTCACATTTAAGCTACTGCTCGTTCACTACGCTGGCCTCCCTGAGAAGAACGAGCAAGAAACTCTAGGGATTGCTCTTTTCAAATAAACTTAAATGCTATGGAATACACTTTGAATCAAATTTGTGTGGATTCTGGAGCCATGTCGTCTTTCCATACATCTTTATCTTCACCTAGTCTTCAATTTTGTAACATGATTTTTCGATCAAAATATTTTTAATGTAGTTTTTAAACTTAGGAAATGATAAACTTAATATATGCTCCGGAATCTTATTGTAAAAATGTATACAGTTCCCCATATAAGAGTTGTTTACCTTGGTTAAACGAAATCGTGGTACCATGAGTTTGGATTTAGCTCTAAGGTTAATATTATGGATATCTTCTTTCTTATTGAAATTATTTATATTTTTACGGGCATATAAAATATTTGAGTAAATGTACTGTGATGCCACATGCACATGCATACAGGCACATGGGACTTGTCAACTTATGTCTCAGGATGACGGGCGCAGTGGCAGTGCCCTCAAATCTTTGCGATTTAAATCTCTGAGTGGCACAGAAACCGCCGTTTGATTTAGTAGGCCCAAAGTAATTTTGTGTCCTAGATAAATGTAGTGGTCTATAAATGTAATATCTTCAGCACCCTTCCCCTTCAAAACCGGAACATAGCAATGCTGACATTATTGCTTGGCGGCAGAAATAGGTAAGGTGGCAGTACTTCCCTGGACGAACTCTTTCACTAGGACCTCTACTGCTATTCAAACAGAGGGCAATGGAAAGACCAATGTTAGGAATGATATTGCCCGATCGGATACCGGATGAGCGTATTCGATGGATATCCAAAGTCGGAGACGTTGTATTTTTTATTGAGACGATGAAATGGGCAGGACTTATAGGTAGGATGAATCCAGATCGGTGGACAAAGAGGATCATGGAGTGGCGACTACGGGCCAACAGGCGTGGCAGAGGTCATCCGCCACTTCGTTGGATGGATGGCATTAAAATTTTCGGGGGCCGCAACTGGATGCATGTGTCGCGGGAGCAACATAAATGGAGAGATATGGAGAAGGCCTATATTTTTTTTATCCGTAGACGGATGTGGTAGAGGCTGCTTGTTGATATGATGACTTATAAACATTTATTGCAAAGGTATTCAATGAATGTAACAAATAATGATATTGACGTCAATAAACTTTGACGTTTAAAAACCACCGTGAGTGTGTGAGTAGACTTAGAAATTTCAATACTACGTGTCGCTAGAGATTCAATATTTTGATACATTGTAGAGCAATGACGTCACTATTAAGATTTTGTATTGCCAAATTGTCTCTTACGTTCTTCCATGAAATAAAACAAATTAAACTAGTATGTTGTTCTACATCACTTATATTTATGGTGGCATAGTACGTTTGGGCTCATATGATTCGTTTTGATGAGACTTTCATCTGCGTTCCAGCCCACGTAGCAAGCCACCGAGATAAACTTACTATATCCACATTTAGCTGTCAAATTCGAGTGATAAACCGACATTTTAAAATTTTATCACAATACACCGCGACCAATGGCTGCAAAAGAATATCGCAATGCCAAATATGACCGCAAGGTTACAGCTGATTTTAAAACATTTTCACAATTCTGCATAGTATTTTTATCAACGTAAAAATTGTGCGTGACAAACGAGGCAAAAAGAAATAATAAAAACAAACTAGTTGACATATACAAATTATTGGAAAAAGGTGAGGAGAACATTTTTAATACAATTTAATAATGAGAGTAATTATAATAACGAAATAATAACTAATACAATGTAAAATATGTTGATTAAGCGACAAAGATAGTATATACGCAATTTCATATAGTTATTCTTGTTCTTCAAAATGTATGACAATATTTCATTACCAAATAAACGAAAGAACGAATGACTAGTGTATATCGCATCGGTGTCTTACCGATGCAGTATTCGCAAAAAAATAAGTAATTTTTAATAATAGCAAAGATGTTTTATATATAAGATAAGAACTGAAATAAACATGTCAGGTTTATAGGAGGTTTATCACACATTGCATGCCATACTACGGCTTACATCTTTTTTCTTTTTAATAAAAAAGTTATCAAAGTATTAAATACGTTGTACGTACCGGGGGATAGGGACACGTTTCCTTCAAACCGGCTGATCTAAACGCGGTGCCGAAGAAGGGGTCGTATTTTACCATATTGCACATCTTGAAATGCATCTCAACGAAACTGCGCTTGTACTGGTTTGTCAGAAACTCGTAAAAGTAAAAATCGAACTGGAACCAAAACCGTTAAAATGTTTGCTATTAAACCTCAGTTGCTACTCAACCGATTTGAATTGAAAAACAGAACAACATGCAAAAAATAAATTATAGTGCTTAGATGGAAAAAATATGGATGCGGCTCAGGGGGTCTACTCTCGATCTCCGTCTGACGTCCGTCCGAAACAATTACTCTCAAATAAGTAATATTCGACAAAATTAAAAGACAAGTATCAAGTATGAGCTTCATTCGCATCACGTGTCTTTTCATTTGGTCAAGTATTGCTTATTTGGCAGTAATTGTTTCGGACGGATGTCGGACGGAGATCGAGAGTAGATCCCCAGAAACCGATGAGGCTTTTATAATTATTAATACAAAGATCGAACACTTAGAAAAAAATCCTTCAATACGGCCGAATTCGAAGCGATGTATTCTAGCAAACCGTGCCAGACGCTAAGCCAACTAAGCCACGGAACGAACCACCGGACATCCCGAATTTTTCTATGTGCTTGGTTCTCGGATCGTTGTATTTGGTTTTTGCAATGACTTTTTAGCCTTAGCGCCATCTATGAGAAATCTATGAAAGTTTTTCGGTTCGAATCCGACCGGATCGAAGGAAATTTTTGTGTTATATTAATAATTATAGCAAACTAGTGAAATAATTTCACAAAAAAAATAATTCAACAACGTGTTGTCCAGTGTCCAGTGATTTAGATTACATGAACTTGGCCAATGGACAATCCGATTGTTTGATTTGATTATATTTATAACCATATACACATAGACAAAAAACTTACTACTACACTATTGTTCATAGTAAACGAGGTCTCAAGGTTGAGCTCAAAGTAGTAAACTGGGTCAGAGCGGCTTTTTCTGCGCGAGGACATGTTCACATACTGAAAATACTTCGGATTATAGTATTGCACTTCTGGATGTTCGATGCTGATGAAGGTTATCTGTTAATAGAAGAAAATACTATATATTTAAATATAAATGCCGCCAATAATTTTTTTTCATATAAAATATATGTGCGCATTTGACGTCCATCTCACCTAATGAAACTGAGGTCGACTATGGAGCATGCACACCTAAATAATACCTATTCACTCTCGCCTTGAAAAGGCCCAAGGTATAACGTTCAGGGAACAAGTCTGCAGGCAGGGAATTCCACTCCATAGCCGTTCTACTTTGTTACTACAACGTTACGCTTCCATATAAATGTGGAAGCGTAACGCTTCGTGCGAATCTTTGGAATATCGACAACATTGGTATGGAACCCTGGCTTACGCCTAGTCCCCCGGTGATTTAAAGGGGAAGGCGGAAGGGAAATCATGTAATTCCATCGCATACTCCGTGATATATCCAGCAGAATACCGGCAAGCTAGCAACTCTACGGCGGTGTTCAAGGCTCTGCAGCTTGGCCTCTAATTCCGAGTCATGAGTCATAAGCTTCTTAGCACGCTTGTCAATTGAATCCAAAGTGGCTAGTTGAAATGTAGCAGAGCCATCGCATAGGCGGCATCTGTGCTCCATCCACGACCGGACTTGTGCTTGGTACAGCTGAAGCAACTGTCCCGGTGTAAAGTAACGCCTCACCCTGGAAAGGATGCCAAACTTCCTTGCTGCATTTTTGGCCATGGATTCAATGTATCTGCCGAAGTTCAAATTGGACGACAGGTCTATTCCAGGTAGCTGGAGACAGTCGACTATCGGTATGGATATATCGCGAAAAGTCGGAGTCAGCTCAAAAGGACTCCGTTTTGTGGAGAATAGACACGCTTGCGTTTTGGTAGCGTTAAATTATAATAATAATAATATAATAATAACGCACACACTCAACATAGCCCCGCACTAGGGAAACCCTGTGTCGCGGGTGCCATGGACACACATAGACAACCACAAATTATACCCAAACTCACGAGAGAAATAAATGTAGGCCATACAAATATTTCTCCCGGCCCGGGAATCGAACCTGGGACCTCTGCGTGGCAGTCCGGCATGGTAACCGTTCGGCCACAGAGGCAGTTGAACAAGATTGTTGGACAAGATTGGCATCGCCCTAATCGAAGACTGCCTGGAGTGTCAAATCCAAACGGCTAACCATGGACTCTCGACAAGACTGGATTTCCTCTCCACTGACCCTTGCATTGGTCAAGTACCTATCTACAACTGTGCTGTCATCAGCATACGCAAAGGTACCTGGAATTAACATATCATTGATATGCAGCAGAAAAAGAGTTGCAGACACCACGGAACCCTGAGCAACTCCGGCCATCTATCGCCATACCTATGGCCATGGCATAGGGACATACTGCTAGTGTGTGTTCAGACCTGTTTGGATATTGTGACTCCGAAGCATGGGTGAACCACACCGCCAGAACAGTGGAAACCGCAAAAGGCAAACCTCAATACGCCAACCTCAAATCAAAGTTCTGAGGGACACTGCCACTGTGCCCGTGCGCAATTACCTGTTTGAATTTTATTATGCTAACGTTCTTTCGCGCGCGATTGCTCGTGTTCGTTTTTGTTACAACGGAGCGTCTGTGTAAAGGCTAATCGCGCAATTATAAAGGTAAGCGCAATCGCGTGGTCTTTCCCTTTTCCTTCCAATGTTTTTACACGCGCGGTCAATCACGCACAATTGCTGTATCACGCGCGATAGGGTGTCTGTATAAAGCCCGCTAACGTTGAAAAAATCACAAAATAAACCGACTTTTTCCAACAGTTTTTCTAAGTGTTTATTTAGTTTTCTCACTGTTTGTCACTTCTCGTCAAAAATTAAATAGACAAAACTAATAATTAGCAAGGATAAATTAATAATATAGTAATTAATATAATTGATAATTATAAGGTACGATACTCACCCTTTCTGCAGTACAATAAATAAATGTGAAAATAAATAATAAATGTATATAATTTTGTGTTATTTCTAACATGATTTGTCATTAACGTCAATGTGAACACAGAGGCATCTAAGTATGACACGGACATTTGTTCCATAGAAAACAACTCATCATAATTTTAATAATTTGCAGTATAACTAAAAATAAAAATATATTTAAAGCATGAAATGGACGCATTTAGGGAAAGTTTTCTTTAAAAAAAGACAATGACCCATGATTCATATCTTCTGGAAATAGATGTGCTCAATATAATGCAGCAGCCGATGAACCCTGCATCCAACTGCTCCTAGCATCCAGGTCATTTTGCACCGAGCGATAGCTAAGTTTGCAACCTAACAACCCTTCTTCCCTAAAGTAGTCTTGTAACACTACAACCTAACAAATTTAAGTTACCTCGCATTGTCGCTAGATGGCGTTAGAAGGAAAATATAACGCGGTATCAAAGGTTCACAGCAAGTATTGATATTGAATGAAAAATTCTATATTGTATTTTTTTATATATAATATCAAGTGACGGGGCGAACAAGCCGTGCGCCTAATGGTAAGCTAAATGCCTGTCCATAACAGTTGGAGTGTCCTCAGAGCTTTAAATCGCAAAGATCTGAGGGTCACTGCCATTTAGCCCGTCACCATGAGACATAAGTTGACAAGTCCTATGTGCCTGTAATTTCACCAGCCCCCTGACCCTTCAAAACCGGAACATAGTAATGCTGACATTATTGCTTGGCGGCAGAAATAGGTAACGGCAGTACTACCACGAACGAACTCTTTGACAAGAAGTTCTACTGGTACTAAAATCCTACGCATAACGTAACGTGAACCTCTATCACGAATCGAATCTTTATAGGAATCGAAGCTATTGTCGTACGCATCTGCTTCAGCTTGTGGGACAGCATCAGCTCGAGTCCGTAGCATCACCTATTTTACTTCCGGGTAAACTTCCACTTGCGGGACTCTCGTGAGACGTAATTGCCCCTACGTAACCCGCTTCCACTCGTGGGACAGGTTTAGTAGCTCCCTTAGCTGCGTAGGCGTATTACCAGTGCTTGCTGTCGTAAGCCTTGCTGTTGTACCTGTACTGTAACTTGTTGCTACGTCAATAAACACGTACCAACTTCGTATCCTGTTTCTTCGTTGAATGCTACTTGCTACGCCCATACTGTTACAGTTATTCTTACGTCATCTTTTAATAAAATGTAACTTAAAAAGATTTTTTATTGATTTTTACTACCTTATATAATATTTTTTAGCCTGAATACATACCACATATACAACATCATTAAAAATACATAAAGCCGTCATTATTTACAACAAAACACGATCATAATAAATACAGTCAAATAAAGATTTCATTTTTTTCGTAATGCCATAATTATGTGTTTAGACATTAGGGACCAACCACTCTATTTAGAACTTCACATACTACAATATACGATATCGAATACGAGCACAGTTAATAGAACGAAAAAGCGAGAATATAAAATAGTAACGTTTGTTTGTTTTTTATAATACCAAGTGATGGGACGAACAAGTCTTACGCCTGGTGGTAAGCGACACACCTATCCATAACAGTTGCAGTGCCACTCAGAGCTTTAAATCTCAATGATCTGAAGAGCACTGCCACCGCGCCCGTCACCTTTAGAAATAAGTTAACAAGTCTCATGTGTCTATAAATCACCAGCACCCTTACCCTTCAAAACCGGAATGCAGTAATGCAGTAACGCAGTAAATGAAGCGTCGTGGTGAAGCCCATATTGCATCACGCAATAACACTAAAGACTCGAAAATGCTTATTATAAAGAGCTCAAAAAAGTTGTAATGTATTACTAAGTGAAAAAAAGCTTATTATAATCAGTATATAAAAAATCAAAAAGACTCCCGGGTATTATGGACGCACGTAAAAAAAAATGTTAGAATAAATTGTAAACAAGAGCTGCCTGTGCATATTTATAACGAACCCAGTTTAATAAATAATAATTTTTTAAATCTGCCCGGTAATGCACAAGCCGCATTAACGGACTTAACCTTTTTTGGGCAAAATTGTAATGTGTCTACAAAATTTGTACTTGAGAAAGTAGAAGAATTTGAGGTTCTAAACATCATGCGTTCGCTGAAGTCATTTGATGGTTCGATAGCTATCTAAGAAATAGACTTCAATGTGTAGAAACAACTGACCAGAATGGATCAAAATTGCTATCATAGTCACGTGACGTCACACGAGGGGTGCCTCAAGGTTCAATCTTGGGTCGAACCTCTTTGCCATTTACAGTGCTGATATAGTACAACATATTAAGCACTATAGATATCACATTTATGCAGATGATATACAGATTTACATTTCATGTAAACCATGCGATACCCATACAGCCGTGGATAAGTTAAATGAAGATTTACAGCGCATAGCTCGATGGTCCGAATCAAATGCCTTAATGTTGAATGGAAATAAATCTAAATATATGATTTTCGGTACAAGAAATCAAATAGCAAAAATTATAGGTCACGAAGTTACTTTGAATATTAGGGGTGACGTTATTCAGCGTGTAGGTGAGCCTCGTAATCTTGGTCTTCTTATAGACGAGCAGCTTCGGTTCGAGAATCATGTATTGAGAACTGTTCGAAATGGTTTCTATAGGTTAAAAGTATTGTATAACATCAGGTACAAATGCGTGTTAAATTATGTGACTCGTTGGTTTATCTAAGTTCAACTATATGGACGTTGTTTCCGGGCCACTCCTGTAAACGCATACGCAGAAGCAAATTCAACGAGTGCAGAATGCATGTGCGAGGTTCTGCTTCAATGTACCACCACGCATGCACGTAACCCCTTATATTAACGATGCCAATATTTTAAAGATCACAGCGCGAAGAGATCTGCATTATGCAACACTTTTGTGTAGCGTCATCAAATACAAAGTTCCATCTTATCTGGCTGCAAAGTTGGTATGGTCCCGCGACGTAAAAACAGCCTTAAGCAGAACGTTG